AGGCCTTCTTCTCTAGACATTTTTATCCATGCTTCCTTGTTGTGTGATAATACGGACTATTGTAAAATAATATCAAAAAATAATGCAAAAGACAGCATTTCAAGTAAGCTCTCCTTGGTGATTTATGGTAAATGTTAATGATATTGTACTTTATAAAGACAAGGTTTTTTTATTATCCTTTAAATTTTTAAACCAGGAAATACAGTCATGTGTATCTTGTCACCAGTTAACTTGTGTTGTCATTTTAAATAATTCACAAACATTATGTGTAATACTTTTACTAATAATGCTTAACTCAGTTTTTGTGGGATTTATCAGTCAAAATGTAGGGGAGCTATGTAATTTTTCTTTGTGATCTTTAACAGTTAAGAAAGATATTTTCTCACACATTGTTTGCACCTTGTCACTGATGCTCATTGAATTTGCTACATCTTTTGCTTCCTTGTCAATATTTTTTACAAAAGAATTAGGCACCTTCTTATAAAATCTTCTCAAAAACTTTCTTATAATTTCTTGGGCTCTGTACATTTTTTTTTTGTTTTTTCCCCCCATAATTAAAATCTTCCTAGTCTTCTTCATTTCATTCAACTTCACTGATAATATATATGTGAGATAATGATATATAACTTTTATATAAATTTTTAAATATCAAGAACAGTTTAGAAAGAAAAGATGTATGACAAATTGTAAACAGGACTTCACTGAACAATGCAAAGAAACTCAGTTTGATAAAGTTCTAATAGATGAAATGCCCAAAAACTTTTTCAATTTGTCATACATCTTTTATATATATATATATATATATATATATATATATATATATATATATATATATATATATAAATTAAGAGATCATCCAGTCAGGCTACCTTGGTTTCAACCTTTTGGTATCTTCAGGTAATTTGGTAATTTCCCCCAATGCTTTATTATTTAAAAATAAATAATTGCACAACACACACACACACACACACACACACACACACACACACACACACACATATATATATATATATATATATATATATATATATATATATACAGGATTTTTATGTTGTATATTTGTACATACCCATCAATAAACTAGTCTAATGATAAATAAAACTAGATTCAACATTTTTAATGATCATATTTTTAATAAACATCCTTCTTTCCCATTATGCACATCAATCAAACATTATGCAATCAAAATTAATGATGTGAACTCAGCTAACAACTGTGTCAGGCTATCAAATTATTGATTCAACCTTTTATATTTAGGCCAGTTCTAAGTGTGCTTGTGTATTTATGTATATATCACCGATTATATGTGTGTGAGCACTCACACTATATATATGCCTGTGTCTGTATATATATAAATAAATAAATATATATATATTTATATATATATATAGGTTTGCTTTGCTTTGTAATGTTTTCTCCCTCTCTCTTCCTCCATTTTCAGAATGGTCAGTTCTTGTCAGAGCCACAAATAAACCTGCCCTCTCTGACTTGCACATTTAAACAATTCACAAAAACACCAAGATCTAGTCACCAAGGTAACCTCAGATGTATTTCCAAAGTTGGATATGTCAATATCGAAAGAATTCTTATGACAAAGATCAAAACTGGCTCAGTTGCTAGGCAACAGGCATTTTATTAGACAGCAGTCAGCTTCCAAACAACAAACTTTGCATCATCTGTGTTGGACAAACCAAGACCTCTGGTTGGTGATAAACTTGACAAACACATAATAAAGACTATTATTCCCTCTGATCAAATATTGCTTATCTATAATCTCCAAACAAACTGTGCACTGTTTACAGGAATGATAATGATTCTACTCCGCAGCATTATGGATTGTGACTAAGCTTTTCTTCATGGCATGAGTGAATCCCAATTTAGTGAGAATATAAATAACAAACATATAGATTAAAGCACTGGTTTGTGAATTTGGTCATGTAGTAATTGTGAGTTCAATCCCTGGTCTGGGTAGTGCATACTTGGACTCAGTGGAAACTAGGCAGTGCTAAAAATAAAAAAATCGAATGAGTAAGTACAGTCTGGCCCCATAAAAGGTTTCAATTCAGATTTAGACTCAGTAGAAAGAAGGCAAACAATAAATAAGCAGTCCTAAATAAGAACAAGATGAAGATGAGATATACCTGAACATAAACAGTGAAATGAAAACAATCTACCCCTGTTTAGATTAAATAAAATGTTCACTTCAAAATTCCATGAAGCTTACCTGAATCAATAAAACATATGAACAAGTTAAGAGAGCATAGCAGGTAAAACATTGGGATAACAATGACAAAAATAAGGGCATTATTCCAAATGTTTATTTGCTTTGTGTCTTCCCATCCTCATTGCTAGAGGTCCGGAACCATGAACATTGTTAAAGTTTTGAATTTAGATTTTTTCTTTTCCTAGACTGGATGCCAATCGCAGTTAGAGAGACTAGTCTGCCCTTTGTTCATGATTGGTATTGGGAAAAAGTGGAATGAAAACAATCTACCTCTGT